AACTTTTTTTGGACTGATGCATGCAACACCCGCTGAGTGCCATGAAACAGCTTGAAAGATCAAAGACAATTTTTAATATAACTCCTACTGGATTCGTCTGAAAGAAAAAAGTCATATACACCTAGGATGACTTGAGGGTGAGTAATTTATGGGCTAATTTTCATTTTTGGGTGAACTAACCCTTTAAGTCCAAAATATGTGGTCTTAAAATACCAATCACACTTTAGTGTGACACTTTCCTGTCGCTCAGACAGAACAGCAATGCCAAAGTCATGGGTCTGACTGCCAGGGAAAGAACTGATAAAATGTAAATGTGTACCTTGAATGCAATGTAAGTCACTTTGGATAAAAGCATCTGCCAAATGCTAACTCTAGTATGCTAATCGTAACATGACATCATCACTGATGGTTGAATTTTGAGCATTCTAACAATAAAATGAAAGGCATATTTTCAAACTTTCAATTTTTAAAAAAAAAATCTTATAATTTTGGTGAAAAGGAAAACTGGAAACTTAAGACACATAAGACGTGGAGAAGGAATTCCCACGGATCAGTTCTCGAACAGGTGTTCCTGATCTAGTTACAGCTACATGTGCGAGCAAGTAAAGATTCTGTAGGCTCCGAGCACTCAGTCAAAGTGTTACGGGAGAGAAAGCAAACTCACGTGTGGCTTCTGTTGTGCGTCGGCTGTATGTTCGACGAGCTCGGTATCGAACGACAAGTTCACCGCTCTCCATCATGGGTTCAAACGCCTCACTTTACAACAACACACACAAATGCAACTCTTTAAGCCCACATATTCTTCACATGGAACAGTACCTCTTATCATTACTTGATTAGTCTTTTCATTACTTTATTCAGTTATTATATTTTTGGTAATGTTATATCTAAACTATACCTGTTGTAACCATTGCTAAACCAAAATATGTACACTTAAAACAGCTTCCACATCTTCTCAGTACTTTATTTTACTAAAAGGAATGAAGATTGACCCCATGGGATCAGGATGAGAGTTTTGTGCCTTCTAGGTCCTGTCCCTTAGCTCTTGTCTCATGTAGGGTTATGAGGAGATGCTGGAGACTATTCCAACATCCTGCTAACAGACATACACATTCACACTTAGAAACTACGGACAATTTAATGTCTGTAGTTCATGTATGCCTTTTCATTTTCCAGTTAGGTTTAATAGTAGCAGTAGCATCTCTGCTCACACCCACAGTGGCAAAAACAGCAGAAAGCCTCATTAATACCCACCCAAAGCGTGTCTCCTTTCGCCTCAGCCTGGTCACGTACACGGCCAAGAGCACAGCGAGAGCGATGGCGGCGGCGATGGCCATGACCACATACCACCAGTGCCAGGAGAACGCCGAAGCACTCAAGATACCTTCACACAGACGCAGAGAAAGAAACTCAGATTTAAAATGTCCAGACTGTCAATGTAAATTAGATTCTAAAGAGGAATGCAAGCACTGGAGTGTGGAAACCTAGTGAGCTGCCTACTTAGGATATGGAGCTTTTTCTTGAACAGTTGCTTACTGAAGGCTGTGAGTGATGATTTTCGGTAAAGCTGAGTAAAAAGCATTGACTTCATCAAATCTGACTTGGCACTGGCAACTGGCTGGACAGATTTCAAACAGGTCTGAAATCTGCCTTACACTAGAAGAGCATTACTAACAGGCATGTGTCGCCACCTGAGACTTTGTACTGCAAACTAGTCACAGCCAGTGTTATTTCAATTACAGAAGCAGACGTGAGCTGTAGTTTACGTCCAGTTAAGTCACCCCAGGCTAGATTCAAACTTGGGTTGCGTAAATAAGCCATACCATACCGCTCACTCCCCACCAGGCCAATATCTGATGTGTCTTTATATTTTATCATGGTCATCTGTTTAGAGACTAGAGACTGAATGTGTGTTTTGTTCAGCTGGTCACTGGTTGAATTAGCTTATTAAAATGACCTCAGTGCATATGTGTCCATATTTACAGCAGGGCGTTGCTTCTAGAGAACGTCCGAAAGACTTTCCACATGCCTCCCACTCAACAAAACTCCTCTCAGGTTTTGCCTGCAACTAATTTCCTCGCATTTCTTTCTGTTCATTTCTTGCCCTCATATGTCTTTTTATTTCCTCTTTTCTGAGACAGCAACAGCAGACAGAAAGAAAAACAACAACAACATTTTAAGAAGGGCTCTAAATAAGGGAAGTAAAAGGAAAAGTCCACTTCTATATTTTGTGTGGGTCCTATTTTTGTGGGACGAAATGTCTGAGATCAGTTACATTTTGCATCTTCCCAACATCAAATAACAACTTCATTAAAATATACATAATTACAGAGGTTTCTTTGAGGGTTAGGGTTAGGGTCAAGGTAGAACAAATATAATTAGATCAATAAAAAAACATGTACAAGTCAATAAGAAGTTCCCATAATGGTGTGTGTGTGTGTGTGTGTGTGTGTGTGTGTGTGCACGTTTTTGTGACATATGAGGACACAAATTGTATAATGACATGGGTATGACATAGGTATTACAAGGAGAAGGGGATTTTTGAGGACATTGCCCCATGTCCCCATATTTCAAAACGCTTATAAATCATACAGAGTGAGTTTTTTTGATAAAGTAAAAATGCACACAGTTTCCTGTAAGGGGTAGGTTTAGGTGTAGACTCACCTCTGGATTGCCCCGTTTCTGCAAAACATTGCAAGGAAAGAGACTGTTAACATTCAATGGAACTGTTTGACCTGTGAGAATTTTAGATATGATTATTGTCTGCCTGCTTTCATACCTGCATGAATGAGTGTAATGGTTTGGAGGGGCGTCCAGGGCCCCTGTCCCGCTTCGGTGTATGCACACACTCTAAAGGAAACGTTCGACAGGGGGGCTGAGAGATTGACAAACAGCTCTGTGTCCAAACCTGTGTCCACCACAACCTGCAGACCAATCCATCATAAACAACAAAGCAATCCAGTCAACATCAAACACTACTTCCTGAAATCTGACAGATTGATACAGCTATTTGGTATAGAGAAAACAAATGATAAAAAATATAAACATGGTAATGTTTTTCAGAGATGAAGGAATGGAAATCCAAAAGCAAACACAAATATTGTTGTCAGTGTGTGTGTGTGTGTGTGTGTGTGTGTGTGGTCACCTGTTCCACGTTAGGTGCACTGTACTCCATCATGTATCCCTGCAGCCGTCCATTCATCTTTCCAGGAGGTTCTGACCATCTCAAGAGCACTTCTGTTCCGTTCACCACAACCGTCACATTGTCCGGGGCTGTATCGGGAACTAAAACACAAATAAAATGGCACAAATTAACATTCTCCTTTAAATTGTGAAATAACCCTGGCTCAATAGAAATATGCTACTGTACCTACATTTCTCAAAACTGCAAATTTCACTTCAGTTTCCAGGCGAAATGAACACTAGAGGCAGTACAACACCAACAACTTTTGATTGTTTTCACACAAATTATGATTACAGGTGTAGATTATTGATTAATAAACACTTTTATTTTTGTTTTATTTATATTTATTTATTTTTGCATCACATCTGCACTGTGTATGGATTTTCTGATGTAGTAAACTTGCTTTTTAGCTCACCTGGTACAGCATTGCACATGTGATGTAAAATGACTAATGAAATAAAAGTCACATTTAACTGTTTCTGAGAAAATTGAACACACTGTGTAGTGACAGACACTGGACATTTCACTTTGAAACTGCTGTGAAACATGCTACAAGCAATTCAGTACATAAGAAAAATGATTTAGTTTATAGCACTTCTTGTGGACATGTCATGTAAAATACGAAAAACACAAAGAGCTGTCTATTTTAAAGAGACAATGCGAAAACCTGTGTACACATTCTGGCCAGTAAATTTCCTCAATTTACCCTCCGTCACCAAGTTAATGCTGGACTCTGGCTGTAGCATTTTAACAGGTGTAGAATAGTGTGGAATATAACAGGCAGGTTTGTGAAACCACATTAAGAACAGACACAAAGATATTTTGACAGTCTTCAGAATCCATGAGAAGTATAATTTCATGTGTGTAAGTTCAAGTGTCCCAACACTGAGAACAGACTGAAGAGACAGAGCTTAAGCTATGACAAAGGGAGACACTTACTAATAAATGCCCCATGCATACAGTCGTGGTCAGAATTGTTGGCACCCTTGGTAAATATGATCAAAGAAGGCTGTGAAAATAAATCTGCATTGTTAATCATTTTGATCTTTTATTTTTTTCTCCTATAATGCCTGATGAGGTTAGAGAGCACCTGACAAGAGCTCAGAGATCATTCCTTCATCCAGAATCTCTCCAGACCCTTCAGATTCCCAGCTTCTCCTCTTCAGTTCACCACACTCATCATCTCTAGGGTTCAGCTCAGGGAACTGGAATGGCCAGAGCAGAAGCTTGGTTTCGTGCCCAGTGACCCATTTTTGTGTTGTTTTTCAGGTTTGTCCTATTTATATTCCTGTGAAACAGGAAGCCATGGCTGGATAATTTCATGTTCATAATCACCCTGTTATGCTCAAAATTGTAAATATGAATGTGAATATACTTCACAGATATTTTACTCATAAGAATTTCTAGGGGTGCCAATAATTGTGTCCAACGTGTTGATCATGTTTACCAAGGGTGGCAATAATTCTGACCACGACTGTACATAATAAAACAGACAAAATGTTGTTGTTGTTTTTTTACACAGATAAAAAAAATAATTTTTTCCACTGTATTTATTAATTTCTGACCATATTTGATTGTAATTTTGGGTTACACTTTATTTCGATAGTCCACTTTAGACATTCTATTAACTATAAGTAACTTTGTAACTACATGTCAACTAATTCTCATTAATTTGCAACTACATGTCTACTAACTCTCAGAGTAGACTGTTAGGGTAGGTTTAGGCTTAGTAGAATGTTGACAAAGAAAGTGTTAGAAGATATTAAGCAGACAGTCTACTAATACTCTACTAACTGCTAGTTGACATGTAGTTGCAAAGTTACTTACTGTTAATAGAATGTCTAAAGTGGACTATCGAAATAAAGTGTTACCTAATTTTGAAAGTCATCACTGTATATGATGATTTTCTACGGTATACTGTAGAAAAGAATCACCCCCTTTAAAATAATCACATTTTGTTGCTTTGCAGCCTGAAATGAAGACAGACACAGTTTTTGTTTTATCCAGCTGTATTTACTCAATGCAACTTATAACATCCAAGTGAAAGATATAAAAGCAACAAGTAAAAAAATAAAAATAAAAACCAGAATCAATGGTTGGAAAAAGGATCAGCTCCTCGTGTCAGTATTTTGTTGAACTACATTTTGCTTTAATTACAGCCTTTAGTCTGTTGGAATTTGTCTCTGCTAACTTTGCAATATTTGCTCACTCTTCTTTGCAGAACTACTCAAGTTCAGTTCAATCTGATGGTGAGTGTTTGTGGACTGCAGTCTTCAGGTCATTGCACAGATGTTCAGTGGGGTTTCAGTCTGGACTCTGACGAGGCCATGCAAGGGCATTCAGCCTTTTCTCCTTCAGCCACTGTGTGCTCAGTTCTGCTGTGTGCTTTGGGTCATTCTCATGTTGGGAGGTAAACCTTCTTCCCATTGACAGCTTTCTGGCAGATTTTCCTCAAGAATTTGACAGTATTTTGCTTGTCCATGTTTCCTTCTATCCTGACGAGTGCTCCAGTCCTGCTGCAGAGAAACACCCCATAACAGGACATCACCAGCTCCATGCTTTACTGCAGGAATGCTGTTATCTGGATGCTGAGCTGGATTGGGTTTCCACCAGACATATCATTTGGTGTTGAGGCAAAATAATTCAGTTTTAGTCTCATCTGCCTCAGAATCTTCGAGGTGTGTTTTGGCAAAGCTCAGTCTGACTGCATGTGGCCTTTCTTGAGGAGTGGCTTTTTTCTTCAACCCTCTCATACAATCCACATTTGTGGAGGATTTATGATATTGTTGTCACATGCACACAATGAGCACTCTTTGTCATAAACTCCTGCAGCTGCTTCAGAGTTGCTGTAGCTCTCGGTTGTCTTTCTCATCAGTTTCCTCTGGCTCTCTCATC